TGTCATTTAAAATGGGACACCCTGTATATAAAATAAATTTAGAGCAAGTTAAAGTAGCATAAATTTAAAACAAATTCGGTAAAGCAGAATTAGTTGTGTAATCCCAATAGAAACGATAAAGATAAATAATACAAATTAAAATAATTTTTCAACTATAATTATAGATATAAAACACAAAAATACATTATTTAATGTCGTATTATATTGGATTCACCTCTTTGACTAATGTATAAGCGTTAGCCACCCCCTCTCGAATATCCAGTGGCTGACTATATCTCTTTCGACGACCCTTCTGCCCTTTGCTCTTACATTTAACACTGGGACCAGGACTAACTATATCGTACGCAGTCTCGGCTGTAGTCTGTAACGCCTGCACGATTCTACATGTCAATTCCAATGCAGCCATTGCGGTACATGTTGTAAAACTATTTGCTCCGCGTTGTAACCCGCGGACAATTCTCCCGTCTCTCTGATACTGTTCGATTGGTAACCAAAATAGATCGCGTATTCCTTGAACTACAAGAGTGCAAGCAAATATTATAGTCAGGTGTATTTTTGTCATTTAGGATTAGCATGCAAAGGATGTTCAGTTTGATACAGTTTCAAAAATAACATCGCGTTTGATTTCCAAACGAAAGATCAAGATCAACTTATATACTCACACAGCTGTACTACAGAATACATCGGGCCCACGCCACCAAGTAAACTCGGGAGTTGATTCTTCTTGATATCTTGCAACCATTCCGAAACTAGATATGTAAAAAGTTTGTCGTAACCCAACAATCCGTGCCTATACGATAATCTCTTCAGTCTTAATTCAGAACAGTTCAGTTCCGCCAAGCCCATCAATAGACCCGCCAACGGTCCATGAGTAAAATCCATACGTTTCCCGTGATAATCCAATCTAATGAGAACTTCTGGACTGAATACAACATTTCTAAAGACAATTTTAAATCGTTAATACTCTTCGTGCAATTTTTATTCGATGATAATAATAATAAAAAAATTTCAATCACGCACCTAAAATATATCGGTTGACTATCATCGTGGACCTGATGGATAGTCTTTGTTTTAATCTTTTTCTCCCTGAATGTCAGTTCGTCTTCCAAGAGTATCAACAGATTCTGATCAATGATATTATTCTGCGATATATTCATCATCGCGTCATTCATCACCGCATCATCATTCACGCTCATAATGGGCGGATGATGCGTAGGTGTTCCTTGTTTCGATACGGGGGTGGATTGCGAGCTATTAGGTGTGCTAGAGCTTTCTTGATTTCGCTTCGATCCACCGCCTAATTCGTTAAAAAATTGTATTAAGAACAGTAGGCTATCTTGGTCTATGTTCAGTCGCAGTGGCAGTAGACTAAGTTTCAAACAACATTCTTGGGCACTTAATCTGGGATCCGGCCTTACGTGAACTGCTTTCATGGTAAACATAATAGAGTGAGACTGCCTTGGTTTCGCTTCGCTGCTATATTGATAAAGAAATTTGTTTATGTGTGACGATGCCAGTCTATCCCTTACTTCAATCTCGTGCACCAGTAGCACTTGCCTGGACGCTTCTCGGGTATTTTCTGGATAGACCTCGTGCTGGAAGCGAACCTTGCTCAATTGCAGTTCCATCAGCACGTCGTGCTGCCGACCCGGGCCACCTAACGTATGCCAATCGATCAATGATTCGTTGCTTCTCGTTGCACGCGGCGAGTTTGGCACGCTGCCAAAGTGTACTTCGTTCGGACTAGACTTATTGAAGCCTACTGCACCTATAGCTGATCTACTTCTATAGAACAAAAATAGAAAAGAGAAAGAGAGAATGTAATCAACATTTGTAGAGTTGTACAGGCATTTGTTTTAATAATTTAACTTTGAATTTCATACCTTCCATGCATAATATTGTTGCGAATGTTATCATTGATGATCACGTGCTTTGCAGATTGTTGTTGAGAACTATCGAAATCATTACCACCATACATGTGCCATATCAACGTCATTTCGCAAAGGGTGTATTTCAATACTGGGGCAGGATAATTAGGCGGAGTTTGCAATAAATCAGTTTTGCCGATCGGCACGGAAAAGTGATTATCCACTATCCTCAATGGTTCTTGGCATAACAATCGAACCTCAGGTACTCCATAACGTGGTATTATTCCTGTACCAGCCTCTTCTCCTAAGATACAAAATTCATCATCGTCATCATCGTCTTCCACACTGCATGCAATCGTTTTATTGCATTCTTGCGAACTTTTTTGCGTCTCTGTCTCTCGCATAGTAGCACATGAATCATCAGGAAAGAAGAACTCAACTCGATTTTCGGTCATTGGTATCTTCTCGCTTTCGTTACCACTCTGGGTTGTCGTTCCTTTTACAGTTTCTTCCAACGCATCCTCCATTAGACTGTAGACTCGCTCTACCTGACTCCTGCTGAGAGTGTTAATACTCTCGACACTAAGAAGATTTTCCTCATATCTCGTAGATGCCGGTGGCACGGTGGGGATACTTTCAGTACTGCTGTTGATCGTGCTATTCGGCTGTTGCAAATCACCGTCGTTGGCGATGTAAGTCAGTAGTTGCATGAGAGCGCGACCGGAGTCCGAGCACGTGCGTACATGCAACACATTGTTGCTTGCCCGAAGATCGACCCGTGGCACGCCACCATACATCCTCTCGTTTAAACGTAAAGATAATTCAAACAGGCCGAAATTCATTACACACACATAATCCCGTTTTAGATTCACCAATTTTTCACGCAGCTTGTCTGATATAAAGAGCGCGACATCCTCTGCGATAAAACGCAATGTTGACGTATTAGTCTGTGCTGTAATATTGCTTGACACGCTGAAATTACCGAGGGTCACAACAGACTTTAGAGGTAGATGAAGTGGTCTATAATCGATCGCGCAGTCCCAGAGATGCAAATGCAACTCAGTCAGAACGCCCGGCGGTGTATAGCCGGCGACAGGATGATCTGCCACGTCCAAGCAATCCATCAATTCCGTGAACCACGAAGTAGCGGCAGAACACATTCGGTGCCTCAATGTAGCATTGCTTATACCTATCGCAACTCGGAAAGTCTTTATACGGTGCGTCTGATGAGCCGCTTGTACTCTCACTGCGACTGTCACCATGTCCTTATCGTTAGGATTCGCTGCTATATTACTACCGGATGTGCTGCAGTATATCGTTCTCTCACAATATCGTGGCCTAACGCTATTAATACACCTCAACGGTGGTGTCTGCGATGGGCTTGTCGTCAGACCACAGTGATCCAGTGATACATTCCTCATCATAGTGCAAGCGTAACTCAGATTAGCATTCCCCTTGTACGCTGTCACTGAAAATATCGTGGCATCCTCTAGTCGTATGATCAATTCACCTTGTTGCCCAGGTATAACATTACGCATAGAGTCACGCACGGGAGTATACATAGACAGGAGACCCTGATTGATGCTTAGAGTCATTGCCAACTTGCTCTGTGCTTTCTTAGAAGACATTCGTGCCTCTTTGTGACTCTTCTCGTTCGTTGCAGAATGAAATATACCTTCCTCGTCCGAATCAGAGTCAGAATTATACTGGATCCCGCTTTTGCACATGCTGAATCTGTAAATGATACATAGATTAGTGATATTTCAGAATTTTACACTGTTTTAGGATAAATAGATTACTTGGGATAAGTAGACTCTTGTAAGAGAGTAGATGCCAGGTCGAGGCCAATGTGACTTTCCATATGAGTGGTATACTTGGGCCTGGGCGCAGACGGTTCCCATAAGAACAAATCAGTGTTGAATCGATTGTACAGTTGTTCGTAAATGCGTTTAGACGGTATCTGGACGGAAGCACAAGGTAAATTGATTTCCAATTGTAATCTAGAACCATGTATGCCTTCGTCGATAAATTCCAACATTTCTTGTCGATTGCCAGGTATAATTAGTTCCTCACCGTCACTATTAAAATGTTAAAAAAGATTTTCAATTACAAACTAAACATTTATTTTTAAAAAAGTAAGTCACTCATCTTTGTTCATACTTTTGACCATGTTCGTTGTTCTGACTGTGAGATTTTGAATGAAGTGTGTCGGATTCACGCATAATTCGTCTAGAGGTGAACGGGGAAGGCGCATGTTTTGGAGTTTTCTCCAAGGTATCGTCTAAAATCCGTTTATCATTCTCTATTTCTTCTTCAGAACTATCCTCTAATGGAGCACCAAGACGTTCTGGATACATAATAACCACCACTCTCGCCCAACCAAGATCGTCATTGACTTGCTGACCCGACGCGGCGGCATCGTTTTTCTCGTCGGCTGTAGCTAGACCAATTTCGATTGGCGTGTCACCCTCGGTTTCTATGTACAATAATGATAGTCGCCGACATTGCAGTTCATGCTTAGCTAGATAATGAGATCGGCTGTCCACAGTAGAGTGAACTTGTGCATCTGTCATTTGCACCATCATATAATCAGATCTCACAGATCTCTTCCACCATGGCGCACGATTCATATCGTGCAGTGGTCTTAAATCTGGTACGGGGAATCTAAATAAAAAAAGAGATAATGCATACATGAAGTACTATCGTTTAGTTTGATGTACCTCAATTTGATTGTACATGATGATGAAGAGATTTTGACATCTACTCTAGAATCTGGCAGTGTTGTACTGTCCACAGCTTGATCAAATAATGTCTGTTGATTCTGTAAGATGTCATAATTGTTAATATTCTGTCGATTAAAATAATAATAATTTTCGTCAAATAGAACTACAAAAAAATGTTAAAAATCATATCTGTACAGAATATTTGTTAATTACACTTACAGAATCTCTAGCATTTATTACAGTATTGTAAGTACATATTGGCTGCGGATTAAGAATAGCAGATATCCTATCTACAATAGTAATGTCTACTTCGCCTCTGCAGGGTTCCAGTTGAATGCTGAAAAATGAAAACGGTATTAAAATAATTTACTCGTAATTTGTTAATCGATAAAACTGATTAATATTGTTTTAATAATTTCAAATAGTTTATGAGCAATTTTAGGTATTGAATGAAATATTTAAATTGCCATATTGTTTAATTTAAAGATAAATATTTACTCGAATTCTGTGCGTGGATGTGCAAATTTCGTCATGTGAGTATGTCGAACAGCCTTTTGCGTATATTTAAATCTCATTCTAAAATCAGTTTTGTTGGAAAATCCGATATTAGTTGTATTTGCTTTTGTAAACGCTAATAGCTCAACAAACTCCATCGATGGTGTTCTATACGAGCTAGGATTGTTAGAGTCAACCAAACATTCTAGAACTTCTAAACAAGCTAAAGTCAAACTTCCTGATATCGCGGAGAACTGATTAGTAGTCTTTTCACTGCCCTCGACTACTAGTGGTGCAGCTAGTAATCTATAACCAATCGGGAATTTTAGTTAACAACCTATATATAAATACTAAATATATAATACCACCGACGAGATACTATTAAAGACCGACATCCTTACGGGAGTTCGCGTCCTTGTGAATATTAAAGCGATTAAGAGTTAAAAACTGATAATATTGTACTAATTTTATGATTTATTAGTTCAGTAGATGTATTTATGCATTTATAACTCAATAATACTCGATTTTTCTTTAAAATTAAGATTGTAGTGTTATCATCAAAGTTTGATTATCAATAAAGATGATAATTGCAGAGAAAAAATTGTAATTTTTTTGCAATATATAGGATATTACAGCTTTACAAGTATGTATATTTACTTATGGGACATTTACGTAATAAAAAATCATGAATTTAATAATGCATGAGCCAAATATTTATGTTAATAATAGCAAATTTATATCAATTATCGGTAATGTCAGTGTTCTTGAATTACCTCCGGGCCCTCTCTCTTGGGGCCCTTTTTATACCGCCGAAAATTTGCCCAGAGTTGACGATATTTGAGATATTTAATAATATCTCGTCGGTGAAATAATACTAAAATCAGTTCATCTTTGATAATGTACCTAATATGACTAAGTCGACAAGCCTCTGTGAGTAATTTTGACGCCGTATCAAAATCTTTACTTCCATAGCCGCCCATTGCAAACGTTCCTAATTGCCTGAAAAATTCCTTCGCCGCGTTTCTCATCTGTCTTATACTGCTAGAAGTTAGACCGACTTGTTCCACGCATGGCGTCAGTATATCTTCGTGCAATAGAACTAGAGCGATGGAAGACACCCTTATGTGAAATTGGGTAGTCTCAGCGGACGTGTCGTTGTCTATGTTGTGTCTGTGTCTATTATGTCTTGGTAGATTCGTTGCCGAACTTTTTGAACTAATGCTGCTGATTGATATGCTGCCCTCCATACTTAAATTATTGCTTGTGATCGAATCACACATCGAAGAAGATCCTGCCAATTTCATTGGTAGGAATTCGTCCTCGTTATCAGATTCGTCCACAGATCCAGTAGACCATCCTTGAGCGTATCGTAGATCCTATAATAAAACACAACATTTTTGTTGTACAAACATAGGAATATATCAAAGTATCAATAAATTAACGTACTGTGGTCTTCAAATCTTGCATAGGATGTGTTTGATGAATAAGCTCACGTTCTATACGATTGAAATCACTGCCAGCCATAGGTTTTTCCGTGTATCTTCTTGGAACGACATTACTGACATCTTCTAGATCTGGAGATGCTAGGCCATGCGCTAATTCTAGTAAAGCATGAAGCTGCCTAGGACTCAGGAACAAAGTAAGCGATCCTAGAGTAATTTCCAGTTCTACCTGAAATATATATTACTTCTTCATTTTAAAAGAATAGAAATATCTGAATAGAAAAAATATTATTATATTTTAGAATAAATACACAATATTTATTCTAAAATATATTATAAATACATTATAAATATATTATAATGTTTTAGAATAAATGCAATATTTTTTTAATGGAGAGATTATAACTATATATAATATCATAAGTTTAAAACATGAATTTATGTTTACTTCACCTTTGGTCCCGATATTCCTTCTCCTTGTTTCATTTTTAATCTCACTTCTTGTCTACCTGCTAGCTTAGCAAACATAATAGGATTTGATTCGTTCGAGTTGTTAACATTTCCATCTGGAGGAGTGTGCAGAATGCTCTGTGTAGGAGACATTTGTGCGGAGGTAAATAGACTGTCCGAGTTCTGTTGATATAAGAAAAAAATAAATTTTTGAAAATTGTTTCTTCTCTATTACAATATCAATTAAAATAAACCTTTACCTTAGAATCGGGAGTAGAGCACGTACTAGCCAACATACTTCTAGAGAACGTTCTCGCGTGCGAGGGAAATTCATCAGTATGAAAAGTTACTCCCTCCATGTATAAACGCTTAGTGGAAAACGCTGAAATGATGTAACCTTTCGCAGATTCGTTGGGATCCAGAGATGTATTACTAGGATCTAATCCAGCCTCATCAGAATATTCAAGATTTTGTATCCATACTTCGATCGCTACTCCCGTGGAAGAATTCAAAGGTACGTGTTCAAAACGTATCACAGTATCGATAAATCTCACTTTGACCCTAGATAAAACTGAGAGATACATGAATGATAAAAAAGCTAACTTTGGATTTAAAAGTACAACGTAAGTCGAGCATCATACTTGAATCTATAGTCTGTGCAAACAGTTCCACTGCCTCTAAGGGTTGAGCATTTCCCGCATTGGCCGCGTCTTGTTGTAAACACTCCTGAGCGAGTTGCATACTGGACGTCATGGAACTCCACATAGATTCGAACATCGATGTTCCTGTTTCGATTCTTTGTCGCGGTTGTACCGTAAGTCTGAGACCCTTGACTTCTACATAACTTGCTTGACTAAGTAATGCCGACCATGGTATACTAAGAGATATCTCCATTATAAAACCATCGACAAATTCCAGTGGGAGATGTTGTTGCTCCCCCATTTCATTGAGTGCCTATGGCAAATGTTTATCCTTTTATAGAAATATTTCTCAATTATCCTTTTATAGAAATATTTCTCAATTATACTTACATACCAAATAAAAAGAAAAAAAATTGTTACACAAATGTGTGTGTGTGTGTGTGCGCGCGCGCGCGCGCGCGCGCGTGTGTGTGTGTGTGTGTGTGTGTGTGAACAGTCATTATTTAGAATGCAAATAAGAAAAAGGACTTGATTAAGTGCTAGAGTGCGTGAGCGGCGCGATTTTGTGCGATTAGCGAAAACATTTTTTTGCAAGTAAGAAAAATCGGCGTTCCTATTTCGCGAGTAAAAAAAACTTAATCGCGTTAGGAAATAGAAGCCGAAGAAATAGAGTCTGTATAAATTAGCATTTATTAACATCCAGAATGGTGTTTACCGATGACTCGCACTATGCTGTGTTTCATTAATTTATGCACAAGTTGCAACTAATTGCGCTTAACAATTTATTATAATTATTGTTTCAATAATCAGTTAATGTATAATTAATATTTATTATTTATCTATTAACAAAAAGAAAAAAAAAATAAAAATCTTAGGACTAAATGTCAAAATTTATGCAATCGAAAAAATAAAATGAGATAGATAAATATATAATACGGCATTTGTTAAAAAATATAATAGTAAATAAATATAAAAATCAAATAAATAAAAATATTATTTCAACATGTGCTATTTATTAGTTTATACATATTTATCGAATTAACTCATGCATACATATTACGTATGTGCGCAGGTACACACACAATATACACACAACACGCGCGCGCACACACACTCACATCCACACGAAATTAATTCTATAATTATTCTTTCTAGATTAACCGTCATAAACTAATCTATCTTCATTCTATCATATTTTATATCCATTGCAGAACATATTAAAAACTACGATTAGTCATCGTAGTTTTTAATATATTCTGCAATGGATATAAAATATGATGAAATATCGTTAAGTATGCAGTGTTTTGCGAAGCATTTAAATCCCGATCAGCTGTTTGATTTACGGGCAACGTGAATACGAGATATTCGCACATCGATGTAAATATTTAATCTCTAATATTCTAAGAGACAAGAACATGCGATGTTTACCGAGTATGCGATCGAGCGATGCGATATTATCTTTATGGAGTTTAGTTAAGAAAGGAAGAAAGAAAGGAATTGTACATACAATCGATCCCCGAGACAAAGAAAAGCACGTTGCGTACTTGCACATCGAGACTGACGTTGACGACACGTCCCGTGCCATTGTATAGATCGACGGTCAATTGATCCAACGTGAGCTCTTCGAGGAATTGGCCGAGGTAACGCTGCAGTAAGTATCTGCAGGCCCTCTTCTTGATGTCCGCCGACCAACCGAGCCAAGACATTTTGCTCATTGCCCCGCGGAGCCAGTCTGCGCGATCTACTCCAAAAATTCTAACGTGTCGCGTCTGTAATAAAGTATCATCTCGTCGCGCCAAGCACGTTGTCGCAAGGCATATCTCGACGTCGAACAAACGTGTTTAACAGCGTGACGAATGTGGCCCAACGTGGTCTACACAAATGAATCGTAGCTCCCAACACGCGCACCGCTCGCGTCCATGACGCTTGGCACAATCAGTGCAATACAACCTGTCGAGGGCACAGAGAGGCTGTCGATTGAGATCGTAAAGATCGACAGATCGCGCCGCCGCTGCCGTTCTCTGTTTAATGGCCCAATCAGCCCAATGTTTTCGTCGCGTTCACTGCAGGACTACGTTCGGGGAGTTCGCTATCAACGCTAATGTGTCATACTATCCTTGTTTCACGTTTAATGAACGATAAAGATAGAATGATACAAATAGCGCTAATAGTCTCCCCGAACCCAGCCCAGGGGGCCTATTCTTGAAACGAAACGTATACGAAAGTCTAGGGAAATGCTACAGTATACGTTACGTATACTATAGTATTTCCC